AACATTGTAAACATTTTAACAATAAATATTTTTTAAACATTTAAACAATTATATTTTAACATTAACATCAAAAGGTGTTGAATACCACAACAAGGCCCGTTTGTGTTTATGTCCGCACCCGATACTGTGCCGGGCTCGGGCATCTCCTGATGGTTGACGCCCAAATTATGGATGTTGGACAAAAAAAGTGCCGCTGCCTGGTGGTCGTCAGGATGCGTCTGGAGCTGGCGCTGGACGCGACATCATGCGGGTCGCCAGCCAAGCGCGGGGCTCTGCAAGACCACCTAGAGTATCCATCATCCCCACTAGAAAACTTGGTGTCGGCTGGGTTTCTTGGACTCAGCAAGCGGCACCCGCTGTTGGTGCAGCACGTGCATGCGTTGGTCACAAACAATGAACGCAAACGCTTTATGGACGTACTTTAGGGCAAAAGGGAAGAAACTGGAAGTTTGGAGTATCAGGCTCAGATGCATCGCTTTTCTGCACAGCTGGGGCCATCTTAAACCGTCACTGAGCAAAACCTGGCAGACCGAGTTCAGTACCTTCTGCGCTCCAACATTTTTGGTGACGCCGAACTCGAACGACGACGACGTGAGGCTATTCCCTCATCGGATGAAAATGCTGATAAGGCAAAAACGGTAAAAAGAAAAAAGAAAAGATAAGGCTGGTATGAACTCTTTTCTCAGATTAATCCGATAAACATACGTGTTAACAATCCATTGTTGCGTATTAGTCGAAATAATACTATGCTGATCAAGACTTTCTTTAAGTACATTGAAATAATGGGTGTATTTGAAATCAATTTAGAAACATCGTCTTTATAATTTTATTTCAATTAACACAGGACTAATTTTTTACAGTCAAAATAACGTTCCGCTTATGAACACTATTTAACGTACGTTGAAATAATGAGTGTATTTGAAATCAGTTTAGAGACACAATATTTACAATTGTATTGCAATTAACACAACACTAATTAATTATATACAAAGTTATACACAAATTTTCCAGTTTCAAATTTTATTTTTATTCGCACTTTCAGAAAGTGTCAATATGGTTAATAAAATGTTCGGTAAGTTTGTAATCAATTCTTCTTTGAACACTTGAATGTAGTTTATAACCGCGTAAGTTTTAGGATGATATTTGAAATATTACTTTAATATAATGCAATGTAACCCCCTCATTTATTTTCCGTTATGTTTACATCGCACTGAATGATTACCACTAATTTTTAGATTAATGATCCATGAATATTTTGAAACCGTAAAATGTACGAAGTCGATACCGCAACCGCGAGCGCCAGCATTATCACTTTATTCGTTTATTTCTTTTTAGAGCAAAATATGCGTATTTATGTTTGTGTTTCAACTTACTCCATATATTTAAAAGAACGACGTATTACGTATTACCATGAGTATCGTATGTCGAGAGAGTTCCTGCGATCGGAAGCTACAACGCAATTGAGTTTGTTCCGACGCCGATGGTTTTACGATTTGTATATCCGTTGCGTATAAATAGATCGGGCGATAATTCTGCAGTTAAAATGCTCTCTGAATCTTTTTTGGAATTTTCTAAATCTAATTGAATTTCCTATAGATGATGGGCTCTGCAGGTTGACCGATGATCGTAGTACCAGAGGTCTCGCGCCTAGAATTCTGTCTATATATATAAACCTAATAAACAATATTTGCATATTACAAATTTTAACTCTTTGATAGATAGGTCCAACATATTTTCTGGGACTTTGTAGAAGCAAATATTTTTGAATTATTAAAGAATTACTGACTATTTATAGTCCAGTATCAAACACATAAATATGAAATGAGAGCTAAGTTCAATATTATGATATATGCCTTCGTTGTTGACTTAAACGACAAAAGAAGTGAGATCTAAATGGGAGCCAAGTTCAATGGTCAGCCCTGAAATTTATTTATAACAACATAAAATATCGCTTCTTCTTGTAACTTAGGATAATATATTGTAGCCTGTCATGTTCGACGGCTAGTTTTTACCTGCAAGCCAAATTTTCGGAATGATAAAATAAGAAAAAAGGTTATAATATAATTCGTATATGAAAACTAGCCAAGTCAGACCTAAGGCTACAATATATTATCCTAAGTTATAAGAAGAAACGATATTTTATGTTGTTATATACAACATTCGATATATATACAATATTCGATTCTTAAAAAATCGATATCGATTATTTAGAGTTGGTAATCATTTACAGTTTGGTTTGAATAATACCATAAAAAATTTAAAACGGATAATTTAAAACACAAGATTTATCAGTTTCTTCGAATTTGTTGTTACTGCTTATTTCTAGAGACACAGTTATAAAAATTTAAGATTGAAACTAGTTTAAAAATAAATTTATTCAATCACTTTCAGTACAACTAGTTGAGCTGTCGTTGTTTAGATTAATTAATATTGGACTTTAAAAAATGTAGTCAAAATTAATATCTTTCAAAGTCATTCATAATCAATTTTTTTGTTTTTTCTACCACTTTTACCCAATCATCATTCGTGACATGGGCACATGCTTCAACGAATATGAAAGAAATAGTCCAAAAAGTTAAAGCCAAGTCAGAAAATAAGAAGACAAACACAAAATCACAAAATTACACACAGTAAGCTCCCGAAATGGCGGGATATTGAAATTACGTAGTGGTTTTTCAGCGTGGCCCTATATATGAGATTTTTTGCCTACACATTTACGTTAACAAAGTTAAAAAAGAAACTTGTTTTATTCATGATTCATGTAATTTAAGGAATTTAAAAAATAAAAAATTTATTACCAAATTTGATCACAAATTACAATAAATTTTTTAATATACATTAAAAAATTAATGATTCGATTATTTTAATATTTTTACCGATTATTTGAATGTGTTTGTCGATTATTCGCATAACAATGAACTTTAATCATCCAAACACTACGGTAAGTTACATAGTGACGTTTCATTGAAACGACGTCAAGTAATAAAGTTGATACTGGTTATTTTTTTAATATTTTGCTTTGTTTGAAAGATTCGCATTTAAATTAGTGATAAAAACCATGTTGTAATAATATATAGATAACTTTATAATTCTTCGGATTTACGTAAAAGTTATTTTTAATCGTGTGAGTACGCTTGTGCAAAGTTATTGCGAAATGAATAATGTGAAACGTCGAAAGGTTTTTCTTATATTTGGTTGAATATAATCATAAGTCATTTATATATAGGACTTCAACACACAACTCTTCTATTGTAATGCGAATTCATCATAGAGATCTTCGTATTGCTTTTGTATCATAAGTCATTGTGCTAGAGTACATCAAGCAGTCAACCACCCCATATATATGTACGACCTTGGGTATGCGTCTCCGTCAGCTCCTCCATACAAGTCTCCTATACATGATCACCCATAACTTAAGAAAATTTTCTATTATACACGACCTCCCTTAGATTAGATTTAGACAATTTTTAACCAATTTTACAATTATTTTATAAATGTTATTTATCTTTATTTTAATAGTATTTTTGACTTGTATTTCTATTATTTATCACCTTTTGAATATTTATACAGGTTTTTTAATACATTTATTTATTTTGAAAGACAATATTATGCTATAATTGATAGAATCAGGCGTTTTTTTTTGCGGAAATTCGTTATAATTTTTTTATTATTCATTAATAATAAAGATTAAAGTTACTTTGCAACCATCCACTCAATTAAATTATGTGTCTTACCTAGTTTGAAGAGCATCTTCCGCCTTAACTCAATTGCGTGCACTAATCCCGTCACCACTAATCCCAGCACTACTACTCCCAACACCACTACTCCCAACACCACTATTCTAGGAAAGACACACCATCGACGATAAACGGCACGTGTTTCGCCTCTACACGAGACATCTTCAGGTGATGTAGACTCCACGGTGGCTGACCGCACAGTCGTATACTTAGTGGCAGGTGCTCTACAAACTAGTAAAGACGCATCATTTAAATGAGCGGATGGTTGCAAAGTAACTATTAATATTTTTATTACAATATTTTGCCTTTAATGTAATACTAAATGTCTGACATGTATTTGTTTTAACTTTATGATTATTAATATAATTTAATTGTTTAATATATATCTTTTATCAAAATTGTTTTTCGCACTTTATATATTAAGTAATAAATAATAATGATGGGCCGTCACAAGAAGAAACAGCGTTGGTGATAGCATGCAGCCTTGTGGAACACCAGCATTAATAGGCTTGTAATCGGAACTTGCACCGTCTACAACGACCTTGATGCTCCGATCTGCAAGAAAGCTGGTGATCAAATTGCACAATTTCTCACGAAGCCCATAGGAATACCCCTCCCACGGATCCTATCCCATTCGACTGACCTATAGTGCCAAACACGGCGGAAGCCTGCAGAGTGCAACCGCGATTTCAGCGTGAGTGGCACCACACTCCAGACAAGACAGTGGTCCGAGGAGCCTAAAAGCGCGTCAACGGAAATCTGATATCCGTTCGGATGAGAGGTCAGCAGAAGGTCCAACAGAGAAGGTGTATGATCCTCCACATCTGGAATCGAAGCGAAGTAACTATTTGTATCAGACCATATGTCAAGGCAAAATCATAAACAAATCTCCCCCCATGATCGGTTAAACGTGAACCAAGTCACTCGGCGTGGTGGGCTGTAGAAAAGAACCTGTAGCCATTTGGACGTGATCGAAAAGTCGGTCTATTTCGGCTTTACCGCTATGGGTTTTTTTGTAAAGGGATCAATGAACTACCTATGAGATAGCAAAAGTGCATAGATAATAACGGTGCATACTTTGATTAATTAAATATACTTTATAAAAAAATTACTTTATATTCCTCCCGTACAAAACGCCAACTTCATATGTAAGGACCTATTATTATGTGTCTTACATATCTCGTTTATAATTCAGTACTCTATTTCAGTACCCAATTATTTATTATAATAAATAAAAATTAATTATACAGAACAAATCACATCTTAAGCTTTCAGTGTTGACTCTAGTTCACCATTAGCTTTCAATTCTTTAATTACATCTAATCCTCCAATAAGTTCTCCTTTTACATAAAATTGCGGGTATGTTGGCCAATCAGAGTACTCTTTGAGACCTTGTCTTACTTCTTCATCAGTTAATATATCAAAGGTGTCATATTGTACTCCAGTTTCATTTATTATCTGTATAAGTGTCCTACTAAATCCACATCTTGGAGCATCTCTGTTACTCTTCATAAAAATCATCACACTATGTCTGTTAATGAGTGCTTTTAGTCTTTCTTCTAGTGGCTGCTTAGGTGTTATAGTTGTTGGAGTATGGTTGGGCGGCGGGCCTTAGGGTTGCCGAGTCCGATTCCCCGGTCGAGCCTTGACCCTACTACGCGAGATGTTATACTAGATGGACTGTATACGCGGTAAGCTTCATCTGATTCAATAAAATGGCAGAGGTGTCACGCGGTTCCTTGACAATGCACTTGCTCTTCTGAAAATCTATTGTTTGCCAAGGTTATGAAGGAATTCTGCTTGAGCACATTAGGAGGAATGAAATGGGGCGGACTAATTAGCAAACACTCAAGCAGGCATTGAGTTATAGGAAAAAGAAACACACTTACCGGGGTGTGACTTCGATGCGGCTTGGACGCTTCTTTTGCTGCGGTGCGAGGCGGATCTCCTGGGGCCCCAGGGATGCGGTCCTGGCCGCTGGTACGATGGAAGAGCGGTGCGCAACGATATCTCACTAGGTGAGGCGGTTACTTCTGGAGCTCGACTGCTCCAGGTGGTGCGTCCGCAACTAGCGGTGCGCGTGGGCAAGAGCCCTCTAGGACCCGACTGTCCCAGGCGGTGTGGTTGCAACTAGCGGCGCAAAGGCAAGAGAGCGCTCGAGCCCAGCGCGCGAGCTTATATCGGCTTCTTTCCCACTGAAGTCGGGCGCTCTTCTCATTGGTTGCGAGAATCACGCAACATTCTAGAATCTCTTCTTCTTTCCCCTCTGTGTGTACAGAAGGGATAGATCGAAGGAAGGACAACGCTTGGCAAGCATACCCTCGAATAAAATAAAAATACGAATGGTTTTCCGTGCAACCAGAGTAGATTTAGCAAAACTAAGAGATTTTAATCTGGAAGTAATCTGTGCAACATCAGCTCCATCTACTCTGTCTAATTGTGCTCCATTTTTAAAAAGTAATAGTCGGAACTGAATCAACCTTAAATTTCAGAGAGATTTCAGAAAGACTTTCAGTATTCTTTCATTATACCTTATGTTTCTTGAAAATGCTTATATTGCCATCTATATAAAATTATGGTAATTAATTTATTATTACAGTAAAATAAAAATGCTGTGATATTTAGAAAATAACGGGTAGGAATAATATAAAAAAAAACTTATAATCGGGTAACGTAATTTTTCAATTTCACGACAATGTAAATATTAAAACTTTTGGAAGTGCAAAAAGGAAATATAATATGTTTACTGCGAAGCTTCCATATGATTAATATGATTTTTGCCGAAACCAAAGAAATTGTTAATAGCTCTTTTAAATTTTGATTTACCATGTTGTAGGTACTTGGTGGTTAAAAAAAGTTATAAGAAATGTAATAAATAATTTGCACAGCACATCTGTCGATGACATTGGTTAATTTATTACTTCATTATTTTTGTTTACTGTGTTTATATACAAATACACATATCCTTTCAGCTACGGAGACTCTAACCGTCATACTCCGTTGACTGTGGAGCTGTTTAATAAAATTGACGGCGCATTGGGCGCAATCCGTTTAAAAGCAAATTTCTTGATTTTGGTACATCAAATACTATAACATGTATACATTTCTGAATTCTATATAAAATTTCCTATAAAGAGTACATAAATTAAATAAAGTCCCAAAGTAATAAGTGTAAGTAAATATTGAGTAAAGAAAAAATTGTCATATTTCTCGATGAAACAAAGTTTTTTAATACTTCGATTTTATTTTCATTTAATTTTAAATTTATTGTTTACAATATTTTATGCACAAAATCATAGGCTACAATACAATTTTTTAACATAAAACGCATTAATAGTAAGCTTACAAGAACCAACAATCAACTTACACCGATGTAGAATGTAGTTCGGACCAGATGCGGCATTAACAATTAAACTGCCGTCGGTTACGTTGTAAATGCAATACTCCGTACAAAGTGACTAACACGGCAGTCAAAGGTTTAATGCATAAGTTAATAAAATTAACACCAGTTTTTTTATTTCATTAAAAATATATACTTAAATTCATGGAGAAACATGTGGTTTTATTTCCAGGACTAGTTAAACCTCTCTTTTTCCTTACATGACTCAGTCATCTTTAAATAGATCTTGCTAAGTTTTACAAATCTCATAAAGTTATGATATAAGTATTCTTAGTGTCGATATCAAAATTTTAGCCGTAAGTGCCATATTTATTGAAAAATTAATTGAGCAAACAATTTTCAACAGCATTTGTAGAGAAATAAAGATTCATTCATTCCCTTAAAAGCCATAAAACCACTCAAGGGTCACTCCCGCGGATGTAGAGTCTAAAATAACGTTTTTTGTAAACAATACTCAATGCACCATAATAATGTCGAGTGACAAAGCCGTTCAGAAGCGCCGCAGGGTGCGCGGCGGTTATATTACATTTCCAATAACCAACATAATTTTAGCAACATTATTTTTCAAAAAGGTAATATATTTCCTTTAACACAAATAATATCTACGAAATTACAACATTTAAAAAACATATCTCTTCCTGAAATAAAAAAAAAATATTATGGATATATATTTCTAAAGAACCCACTTCTTATGCTCCAAAAATATGCCAAAATTAAAGTTCGATTTTGCACTTTTTGTGAATTATGTACTAGTTCATTAAAATATTTTTTATACGTGGTAGAGCCATGCTGCAGTTATATTACTAGTATAGTTGTTGCACGAATGGGTCGGTTCGACCGGGGAAGGACCATGCTCTAACGGAATACCAGCGTGAAATATTAGCTTAATGCTGGCTGTGTTTCGTATGGTGAGTGTAGAGAACCGGAGATATTTTTTACTGGAAACGAGGCATTCCATCTTAGTCTCACGGGTGACAACGCATCTGCATTTTCATTTGTAATCGAGGATAGATGTAGATATCTACGGACCGCAGCAACTACTTACAATCAGGTGGACCGTGTGCTCGTTTGTCACCCTATTCTATAGAAAACATACAAAATAAAAAGTTGTATTCATTTCAACGATGAGAACCGTGGTGGCTCAGAGGAGCCCCGGTAGCTCAGATGGTTAGCTCTCGCGTTAAATTTCACAGTACGTTAGCAAATCGGGTTCGATCCCCGCTGGCGTCAATGAAATTGTTAATTGCAATTTTAAGTGCTGATCTACCACTACGTGCTCGGCGGTGAAGAAAAATATCGTGAGAAAGTCTGACTGTCTGAGAAATAAGAAAAAAATATTTCGAAGACATGTGAAGTTCGGCAACACGCATAAGGGCAGCGCGGCGAACACTTCTTTGCCCTAAAACGCTCTCAGAAGTGAGGTAAGGCCCAGCAGTGGGACGTAAATAGGCTGTAACTTAACTATTTAAACGATGATAGTCTAAAATAATCGGCTGAACAAATTATAGCGCGGCAACAATAAAAACTAAATGGATGGATGTACTTAAGTATAAAATTGAATAAATATATAACATGGGTACTCATTTCTTTAAAAGGCTCCTGGTACTTGTTCGATTTACTGTATCTACAGTACTAATTATTTACGAATGGTACTGTAGATATCAGCAATCTTGCTCTAGGTTGAAACATAACGCAACGTTACACGATTTGCAAAATTGTAAAATTGCAAACGTTGTTAGGAGGGCCGCTCTGAAGGTGTTTTTAAAAAAAAACTTTTACACCCAATCCCAGAAGTTCTTTTGGTTTATTTCCCCAATATTAAATTAATACAAGAAATGTACAAAAGCCGCGAACGGCGTGTGCGATATGCACTTAATATGGGTTGGAACTGCACTGCCTCGATTACCTCAAACTCTAGGCTTTTATAATAAATATAATAATCGAGTCAGCGCTTTTATCTAACTAGGGTTGGACATAACATCTCCCCCCTTTTTTGACGGAGCTCATCCTTCTTTTAAATAAGGGATGAGCAGAGTCTCACAAACGATACAGTGGAAATTAAAAAAATAATTTGAATACAAAAATAATTGTAAAATAGAATTGTTTCAATTATTTGTTATCATTATAAAATCAAATTGAATTGATACAAAAGCATAGTAAAATTAAACTATTCTTAAACAATATCTACACAAAATTATAAGAGATTATTTATTGAGATTATGAACTAGTAATATAGTATTTTTTATAAGATTCAGTGAATAATGAAATAGTAGAAGATTCAGTGTATTAATGCTAAGATTTATTTTTTATTTCAAATACAAACATTTAGTAATATTAATATCTAAGACACAGTGTATAAAACAAAATATAAACTTATATTCTAATGTAACATAATGCTTTATGAAATAAGTATAGTAAAGTAATATAGTTTTTAATTATTACATAAGTTTCGATTTGATAAGTGAAATTTACCGAATGTTCTTTTCATTTGGTTTTGCACTGGCATATTGGGTAAGGATATAGAATCTTTTCTATCATCGTCTGATGATGAAACTTCAGTTAACTCAATAGAATTACTAACTTTCGATTCGTGTTTAACAATCCGTCGTGTATTGCACTGATTAAATATTTGTATGCAGCGGCAAGAATCATTATTTCTCTTAATAGAGCAACAAAATATTTTATAGGAAATATATAAAATTATGCAAATAATCAAAAAGTATGTAAATGATGAATAGTATTTACCATATTTTATTATGTGAGATTGTTCTTGAACTCTATTGATCTCATTTTCTAAGTTATTTAAGGAATGTTAAGAATATTTCAGAGTTTCCATGTCTAGGCTAGTTAAAGATATAGGAGATAAGTATGGAATTGATTTGTTTAAAATTTCTTTATTACAACAATCGTCTTCTGTAATATTAAAGTTTAAATTCATTTTATTTTTGATTTTAATAGATTTAGTTGTAGATGGCATTAATTGAATTGTCTTAGAGAAACCAATACAGCTTTCGTTTAAACTTAGGATACCTGTCCCTAAAATAGTGAAATCTTGTATTATATTATTACATTTTATAGTTAATTTACATTTCTCAGACTGTACATAGATAAACTTATTATT